TAATTTACATCAGTTCAGTAGCAGCACTAGGAATCCCCTTGCAGCAGCGTTGACTAGCCTTTCGTGAGTTAATCCAGGGTAATTTAACTCAAAGTATGTTATAAATGTACATAAATAAAAAATAAATAAACAAAATAATTAAGTAATCGAAGGCTGTGAAAAGGGTCCATTCTTCTTATGGATGCTGATGCCTTCATATTTTGCCATTGTTTTTGTCCCAAAGATATTCAACAGAAAAAGTGTATAGCAGGGTGAACTTCTCTAGAGGTAGACAATTTTTTGCACTCCTGTTTTCAGTAAACAAAAATAAAAAAAGCAAAAAGCAAAAATAAAACCCTATTGCATTTCCATGCCTTTCCAAGAAAATGATCAAATCTAAAGCGAAATATTTAATTTACATCAGTTCAGTAGCAGCACTAGGAATCCCCTTGCAGCAGCGTTGACTAGCCTTTCGTGAGTTAATCCAGGGTAATTTAACTCAAAGTATGTTATAAATGTACATAAATAAAAAATAAATAAACAAAATAATTAAGTAATCGAAGGCTGTGAAAAGGGTCCATTCTTCTTATGGATGCTGATGCCTTCATATTTTGCCATTGTTTTTGTCCCAAAGATATTCAACAGAAAAGTTCAAAAAAGTTTGGGTCTCTCTAAATGAATAACTAAACAGGCGTGTTTCATTACGGACACATCTAGTAATTACTAACTCTTTGTTTGTGTTATCATTTGTATTCAGGAGGAACTCAAAAATGCTTTGAAACCACTTCAGCACAAACTGAAGCTCTTTCGAAAAGCAAAATGCACTTGTGAGCAAACAATAGATCATATTAAGGTATTTTCATTTTGAATTGGCTTTGTTGAATCAAACAATTATAGAAAGAGAAAATTAACTTTCCATTTGAGAAAAAGTAAATGATAACGTTCTCATTACAGAGTCAGGCAGAGAACACAGAGAGGCAGATACGAGAGGAGTTTGAGGCACTGCACCAGTTCCTGCGAGACGAGGAGGCATCCAGGCTTTCCATGCTAAAGCAGGAGAAGGATCAGAAAAGGCAGATGATGAACGATAAGATTGAAGATTTGGAGAGTGACATCACTTCACTTAGCAACACTATAAGAATTGTTGAACAGGAGATGAGATCTCAGGATATACCATTCCTCAAGGTGAACATTCGTAAAGGAATGACTTAAAACACAAATTACAATTCGCATGTTGCACTTTTAGTAATCTGATTCTATTTTTATTTAACCTAGAATTATAAAGACACCATAAAGAGGTACCCCCCCCCCATCTAAATAAGTATAATTTGCTCTGTGACCTAGTCCCAGAATAACTCTGTATTCTTTGCTGTATTGACAGAACCTGGCGTATTCCCCAGGATCCAGAGATGATAACTGGTTCACTACTTGATGTAGTCAAACATCTAGGCTCAATAAAGTTTAAAGTCTGGGAAAGAATGATGGAAATCATTCAATATAGTGAGTATATTCAGGATCAAACTACCAAGTCATTTCCACATTTTTACATGTATGTATTTGCCAATTTTAAACCTCTATCAAGCAATGTCTGGATCAAATTTAACCAAAAAGGAAAAAAAGACAATTATTTTGTATTTTTTACCAAGACTAAACATTCAAAATTGCCAGTAGCCTATTATAATGTGAAAAATCTCATTCACATTACTGTAATAAAAATACTAAAATAAATACATTCATAAAAGTATGGTTACATTTTATTTACGGTGCCCTTGTTACAAAGTAATTATACATTTGTGAGTACTGAGTAAAATTAATTAACTACATGTATTTACTTTATGGTTAGGTTTAGGCTGAGGGTTTGGTTTAAGGTTAAGTTGTGTGTAATTATGCATAATTTATTGTTATTAATATAGTAAGTACAGTATCTCACAGAAGTGAGTACACCCCTCACATTTTTGTAAATATTTGATTATATCTTTTCATGTGACAACACTGAAGAAATGACACTTTGCTACAATGTAAAGTAGTGAGTGTACAGCTTGTATAACAGTTTAAATTTGCTGTCCCCTCAAAATAACTCAACACACAGCCAATAATGCCTAAACCGCTGGCCACAAAATTGAGTACACCCCTAAGTGAAAATGTCCAAATTGGGCCCAATCAAAAAAATGCACCACAGTAATGAGAATTTGAGGCGGAAAGTGGTTTTATTGTCATAAAAATGCAAAAATATCTATTATTTGAAGAAAGAATCTTACTTTTCTTTATGTAAAAATATAATTTATGTATGTATTTTGGTTGAAAATCTCCAGGTCTGCGTTTCCCAAAAGCATCGTAAGCCTAAGATGATCGTAGCTCCATTAGTTTCAATGGTCTACGATGCACTTAAGCTTACAATGCTTTTGTGAAACGAAGACCTGGAGATTTTCTCACAATATTCACACTTAAAGCAACTGCATGTAGTTTTGTGTATTTTTTGCAACTTTGGAGCCCCTGCAGTTAAGTGAGTGGAATTCATTGAGGCAAATAACAGTGGATAGTGTTTGCAATTACAGTGGATAACCGTTCACGTGCCGTAAAGCAATCTGCCCTTCTCTTGGAACCCGCTCACCAAACTTCCATGCTCTGTTCTGGGAGTACGTAAAAAACAGAAACCATTCACCTTATTAGAAGTCATTGCACTAATAAAATGATTTTGAAACTTGACATTTTAAGGTAAAAAACAAACAAACAAAACATACACACAGTTGCTTTAAAGAGACCATTAAAGAGAAACATTAGCATTTTAATTAGCCTTTCAAACTATTCCTTTGCTGCAGCTCCAGTGACTCTTGATCCAAACACTGCGGCAAGCTGCTTCCTCCTGTCAGAGGATCTGACTACAATACAGTGCTGCTCTCAGACCTTTAAACTCCCAGAAAATCCTGAGCGCTTCAATATAGGTGCAGAGGTGCTGGGCTACGAGGGCTTCAGCTCTGGGCGACACAGCTGGGACGTGGAGGTCAAAAACAACACCTACTGGGTCATTGGAGTTGCAAGCGCATCCATCAGCCGAAAGGGAAAGCACGTGTTGACCCCTGCAGAGGGATTCTGGACCATTAGGCTACGAAACAGAGAGTATAAAGCCTGTACTGCCCCATGGTCCCCTCTCACTATGACTAAGGAGCCGCAGGTGGTGAGGATCGTATTGGACATGAACAGGTCCAGGGTGACTTTCTACGACCCACGGGAGAGAACGCCTCTGTTCACCTTCACGGACATCATCACTCCGAGAGCATTCCCATACTTCTGCAGCGCCTGTAAGGAGCACCCACTGAAAGTGTTGCCAGCGTGGATCTCTATTAAGACGGACTGATGTGAAGAACGTCCCTCTCAGCATTTCTTTCCTCAAGTCTCACCTCTCATGTTAAGACCAGCTCACACTGTGCGAATTTGGCCACGATTTGGTTGTCTGAGACAAATTTGAAAAATCCTAAAAGATTCCTATACTCCTAGGCTAAAATCTGTAGTCTTTGATCGCTGGTTTGACACGTTCACTGACAGCCGATTAATGGCCGTTGAGATCAAAAACTGATTCTGAAGTGTGCATCCAATGGACACTTTTCTGTGCCATAAGGCCACAGGAGAGGTGTTGTGAATGGCAGTGAAGCAACGCAACTGCTGGTAGGTCACATGACAATGACAATATGATGAATGTAGTATATCCTAATTACTTTAATTCTACATTGAACTTTTTTCATGGTCGCAAAGTAATTACATATTCAAAAGTACCCACTCGGAGAGTATGTGAAACAGCCAACGTCTAGCTGCTACTGCCACACAAAATCACGCCAGAGGAGATGACAGGTGAAAGGGAGACTCTACCCGCACCTGAACAAAGTTTGCTTGCCAGTGTGGGCGGTTTTTTGGATTCCATAAAAAAAAAAAAATCTATATTTCGAGTGTGATTAATTTAAGTTGAAGATGAATAGACATCGCAATTAAATCGTTATCGTGAATTCTTTTGGCCACAATAATTGTGTAGTGAAAATTTTATATTGTGACAGCCATTATAAGAATTACATTATTTAAATTTGAATATTTTTGCATTTATTTTTAACAATTATTATATATTTTAAAATATGACCTATGCACAATTTTTGTGAGATTCAAGAACAAGTAAACATCAATACAAGGACATTAAAATATATAGAGAAATATATACAGAAATAAGGAGTGTAGTGAAAATTATTAAATATATTAAACATTGAACAAAAATTCAATGTCAGGCTCAGGAAAATACAATTGGAAAAGAGTGTAGAGAAAATCTGAAATTGTGACAGCCCTAATAAGAATTACTTTATTTATTTAGTAATTATATAATTTATTTAAATATGATCCATACATTTAATAATAGTGTAATGTTTATGTCAGGACAATAGAATCAGAAAAGAGGAGTCTGCAATAAAAATGATTATTTATTCCTTTAACCATTCAGAAGTCTGCAGTAAATTAATGCGATTACAATGTTTTAGTTTACAAAACATCTTTGTTCCCATGTCAGTGTGAGGCATTTCATCTTGTCATATCACACATGGGTAAAGCTCGAGCAGGTAAAATCTAAGGCACTTTGTTGTGGCTCTTTACAATGATATGCTGCATCTTTCAGCTTTCTAAAAGTCACTTTGGAGTTAGGCATTTTAACAACAGTTATGTAGTAAAAATCTTAAGTCTGTTAACATACACTCATTATTATTTTTTCAGGCTCCAAGTATTATAGTGGTTTAAGTCTATAGCAGGGGTGGCAAACTCCGGTCCTGTAGAGTTCAGCTCCAACCCTAATAAAACTCACCTGCCTGTAGCTTCCTATTAACCCTTCAGACCTTGATTAGCTTGTTCAGGTGTGTTTGATCAGGGTTAAGCCAAAACTCTGCAGGGCCGCGGCTCTCCAGGACCGCCGTTCGCCACCCCTGGTCTATAGTGTCAAAACTAGACAGTGGAGTTTCATCTTTCATCCTGTTGGCTTAAGTGTTTTTTTTTTGTTTTTTTTGAACTGGTTAAAATTGGGAGTGCACATATTGCATTTTGTCACATGTACGCTACCATCAAATCAGAATAACAAATTAAAATAATTCTCTCTCACGGTCTCATCTATTGCATATCAGATATTCAGCTTGTCATTGTGAAGACAGCTTGCTACCAAATTGAAGAAACCCCTTCAAAAGCATGTAAATGTAAAAACTGTCTAAATACTAGCAGAACAAATCTGAGTGGGTTCTGTTGCATCGTGGTAACACTGGGTGCGGTCACAGGTTAGAAGACCAGGTAGGTTCAGACTACCTTCTCTTCTTTGTCTCAAAGGGATATCCTGCCTTCTTCAAAAGCATTGTACAGCTCCTCGGTCACAAGCTCATAACGGCCTGCTCTGGAGTTCAGAAAGTAGATCTGGTCAGTTGTGAGCCGTGGATCGTATCCTTCCCTTTGCAATCTGGTCTTTTGAATTTTAAATGTTCCTGTGAATAGTTAAGGGTAGGAAATCAGCTCGCAGCATGCATATTCATATTTTAGAAAAGGATGATTTTATTTTTTTAGATTAAGCATAATTTTAAACAAACAGCCATTGTAGCCAGGTAGATAAAAAAGAAATTCAAGACCTAATCTAGCTCTAATAAAGATTATAAAACCATAATCTAACCCTAGTAAACATGATAATATTTAGATTTCATTAAAAAAAAATTTTTTTTTAATATATTTTATTTAAATAATATGACCTATACATTTCTTTGTGAGATTCAACAAAAATTAAATGCCCATGGCAGGACAGAAAAATCAGAAATGAGGAATGCAGTGAAAATCTGATATTGTGACAGCCCTGATAATTATAATATTCAATTTAATTTCAAAAATTTGCAAATAAATTTAAATTTGACCCATACATTTATTTTTGAGATTCAACATTCAACAAAACTAAATGTCAAAAATTAGAAATGAGGAGCGTAGTAAAAATCTGATATTGTGACAGCCCTAATAAAAAATTATTATATTTTATTTAAATATGACCAATACCATGATCATACTCATTTAAAAAGTACAGTAGAAATCTAGTTTAAATAATCAACATAATGCACAATGATATTTAGTAATTTCTTAAAATTATACCTATGGTAATACGTAGTTATTAAGAGAAACATTTACATTTTTTTACAAAAATATTTTTATATATGAGAAATGTTATGCGGAGCTTTCTGCATATATTTTTAAATGATGAGGAGAAATCGATTCTTTGAAACAGACTGAAGAAAACAAACATCATCTCGGTCTAAATGCTCTCATAATTACAATTTGTGAGACAAGTTTTCTAAATGAATTGGTTTGAAAGCTTAATAGCTCAATAAAAGCACATTAATCATTGTGACATTCACATTTTATACCGCTTGCAAAACTACAGTACAGTGCATATATGGCATAATACTTAATATATCATCAATTCCAGGCCGTATAGCATCTGGAGATCTTTCCTCACCTGTGGTATCTACACATGGGGAGATGCGTAGAAATACTGGCCGTGCATAAGGAGGAAGAGCTTGCTGAACCTCTTTCAGGAAAGAATTACAGTTGAAGTTTCCTGTTGAGTCAGCAATGGCAGCCATTCCAGCCTTTCCCTCCACACCTATACAAGCACACACACACTGTATATGAGGATATCTGACGTATACATTACAGGAATTATGGGTCCTGTGAACTTTAGGACAAAATTGTCTTTATCTGTCTCACCTGGTACGTTTACTCCAAACACTGCTACATCAGTTTGTCCCAACAGGCTGCTCAGTGTTCCCTCCACTTCAGTAGTGGACACGTTCTCACCTTTCCAACGAAACGTGTCACCACTCCGGTCCCGGAAGTACATGTACCCAAGCTCGTCCATAACTAAAACATCACCTAAGAGACACCATACCAACAAACTAAGTTTATTGCGTAGTGCAACAGCCAATTTCATAAGTTTAAAATGTGCTGAACCAGAAAACCTTGAGGGTGTTGAAGAAAAATAACAATATCTCTTGACTAAGAAGAACATAAAAAGTAGACTTCAATATGCTATAAGAATTTGGATAGACCTGTGGTGTTCTGGAAGAATGTTTTATGGATTGATATGACAAACGGGAACTTTTTGGACCCATCAGCGGTATGTCTGGTGCAAAAAAGGCAAAGCTTATGAGCGGATGCACACAATCCTCATGATCATACATGGAGGTCGACTAGTCTTTTTATGGGGTTGCTTTGCTGTTGCAGAAGTGGAAATCTTGACTGTATGAAGGACATCATGGATTCTTGGAAGTATCATGGAAGTATCAAGCCATTTTGGCAAAAATTAAGATGCTTTTGACTGAAGCTTGATGATAACTGGACTTCCAGCAGGGCAATCACCCCAAACTATACATCCAAATCCACTGGAGCTTCGTTCAAGGATCAGTCATAGAATGTTCACAAATGATGCATCAATGCAACACGTATTCACACACGTGTTTTTAGAATTCAGAATTTTATATATTATTAAAAAAAAAAAACGAAAGTGTATTTTTTTTGTTGCTGAAGCCCAAGTTGGCATACAGGTTTTGCCGTTTACATCAATTATATGTTCATTGTACATTTCGGTTGCATTTGTAAATTAACAAAAAATAATAATATCTTAATATCGAACGCAGGCCACAAATTTGATTGCGGCATGTTTTGAGGTATCTGTCAGTACTGTTTAATAAAATACTGAGAATCGTCATGATCAGAATGCAGAATGTGCAAAATGTTAATAATTGAAACAAAATCATGAAAATTTCATGTTATTTTTTATTTAGTACTGTCCTAAGCTATTTCACATAACATATGTTTACATATACTCCACAAGACAAAATAATAACTGAATTTATAAAAATGACCCCATTCAAAAGTTTACACTTTTGAATCTTAATACTGTGTGTCATTTCCTGGATGATCCACGACTGTTTTTATTCAGTGTAAACTTTTTAAATTGGATGATCAGGGTAAATTGTACGTATTTTGTCTTCTGGGAAACATGTACGTATTTATGTAGCTTCTGAAGTCCAGTACTAAATGAAAAAATATGGTATCATATGCATGTATAAATGTATAGGTACTAAATGTATAAATACTAAATGTAGGTACTAAATGTATAAATATGATAAAAAATATCATCCTGTTCAAAAGTTCTCTTAATGCATTGTGTTGCCTTCTTGAGCATCAGTAATTGTTTCCACCTTTTGTAATAGTTATGCATGAGTCCCTCAATTGTCTTCAGTGTTAAAAGATGGATCTCAAAATCATACAGTCACTTTTGGAAAGGGTTCAGATATGCAGAAGATGCTGGAAAACCAAAGAATGTGCAGGAGCTGGAGGATTTTTCTGAAGAACAGCAGGCAGTTGAACTGCTCAGGACCAACAAGGGACTCATGAACAACTATCACAAAATATAAAAACAGTCGTGGATCATCCAGGAAATGACACACAGTATTAAGATCCAAGGGTATGTAAACTTTTGAATGGGGTAATTTTTATAAATGCAGTTATTATTTTGTCTTGTAGAATATATGTAAACATCTGTTATGTGAAATAGCTTATTCAGGACAGTACTAAATAAAAAATAACATGCCATTTTCATGATCCCTCTTATATAGTTTCAATTATTAACATTTTGCACATTCTGCAAGGGGTATGTAAACTTATGAGCACAACTGTATACATTTAAATGATTACTTTGCATTTCACCACAGCGGTAACTTTCACACTGTTAGAAACTTTTAGACACTGGCACTTCTTTGCAGTGTGTTACAGGTGCACCTGACAGATATGCAGAGTCGTTTTTCTTGAATACATTGTAGGCGATCTTCTTCCTGGTGGCATCCTGACTAGCGTACCCATCAAACCGACGCAGAGGATCCTCCTGATTAATTCTCCCCACCAACAGCCCAGGCTCTCCTGTGAGTGGAAGTCAATACATGAAGAGAAAAACCTATGATAAGAGCAAATCTGAGGGAGCAAAATGACTGCTGATTATTTTGTAAATTTTTCTAGTCTGATGCAGTCAAATAATAACCCTTTTAACTTGATAAGTGTGCTTATTGTTTTTTTTTTTTTGAACAAATGAAAATAAATGCCATTTTGAAAAAATTAAATGGCATTTAATTTGACATTTTATGTAATGCAATGACATTATATAATAATTATTTCACATATTTATTTGTTTCTTTAATAATAATTTGATATGACCCATTCGAAGTGTCCAAATATGTTTTGAGCCCACCGTATATCAGACTTCTATTACAAAGATTAGATCTAAAATGATGTGAAACCTATTTCATGAACTTATATTTGGGAAACATATAAATCAAAGAGTACTTGGCTGTGAACGCACCAGGTCGGCAAGTCACACACAGTCCCTGCTTGTCCCGAACCAGTTCCATGGTTTCCTCATTCACTTTCAGCAGTCGGATGGGGTACACGTTTGGCAGAATGCGACTGTTAAAACCACAAGCTCCAACCTGCAGCGTTCAGAGTGAGTTTTTACTATTCAGTTACCTGTTACAACTGATAATTGCATATTCAACGTTCTAAGAACAACACTGATACTTGACCTTGCCATCCATATTGGCAATGCTGCAGTTGCACTCGGTGGCTCCATAGAACTCGCCGATCTGTTTTACTCCGAAACGCTCCATAAAAGCCTCCCACACGCTCGGCCGCAGCCCATTTCCCACGGCTAAACGCACACGGTGCTGTCGCTCAGAGGGGCGCACAGGCTGAGACAGCAAGTAACGGCAAATCTCGCCTATGTACTGCACAACCTGCAAGAAAGGGAGAAAAAAAAATGGATGTATTATTTAAAAGAACATTAAAAATGCAATTCATTCAAACAATGACTTGTTTTTTCTTATGTTTTCTACTCTATATTACAATATATTTTGATATTTTTTAGGGCATTATATAAAATCATAAAATCTCACTTTCCACAACCTTCACCCTCTCTGTTCCTCTCTGGTGGAATAAGCTACCAACCTCCATCCGAACTGCTGACACCATCACATTTTTTAAAAAGCAGCTGAAGACACACCTCTTCCACAAGCCCTTCACCACTCCAACCTTAAGCCAATGAACTTAACACACACACACACACACACACACACACACACACACACACACACACACACTCTCTCCCCTTTTCTATAGTTTTCTTGCTTCTCTAGCTTTCAAATACA